ACTTCAAGACAGGACTCAAACCCAAATTTGTAGAGGTTTGAATCTACAGTACCACCACGGACCATATCGATTTATCTTTGATTTAAAGTCAGGAAGTGCTTGCAAAAGAATGGGTGTGTCAGGTGATTATGTCTGAGTTTTGGACTTTTAGACACCAATGCTTGGTCAGCTTACCTGTGAGGAAAGTGTTTATGCTGAAAAATATTCCAGCAATGTCACGTCAGCATGATCCCATTGACATGCGCCTGAGTGAGCATCAGGGCTTTGGGCCTTTTGTGCAGCTCTGGATCCACATCTATTCAACAGCACAGACGCCACTGATCCATCAGCACCACAGCCTGAAAAATGCCCCCCCACACCATTGAACCCCAACCCCCCAGTGGCTGTTAAAAGAATAAAATCTAAATTAATTCATTTTAACGTGATGTTTGTGTGTTCATCGTTGCTTTATGCACCATTTTGTATTCATGGCTTTGTTTAAACATACTGTTATTTAAACAGTATCTGTTATTTAAACAGTATCTGTTATTTAAACAGTATACTTGACCACATATATTTTTAAAAAGATACAGATTATATGTGCAAGCTACAGTACTAATTTTGCTTTACACGGCTTAATTTTCAAACATCCTCACAGATTTATTTGCTCATTCATCTGGAGAAATATTGCTGCTCAGTCCTTAAGCAACAGGAAGGGATTCTGTGTCTCCTTATGTTGCCATGGCAAGCGGCCGGCAGTCCTGAGCCTACAGATAACCCAGTTAAAAATTCCCAGCTGACTTTGTTACGGCTAGTTATTGGGTCAGCTGGGTGAAGGGCAGAGGATTGCTTTGTCAAATTAATGCATAAAAATTTATGATTTTCTGCATGCCCTGCAGACCATTGCATATGTGTTTATCTCCTTTGCCCGTTGAGAATCATTCAGTAAAACTGATAAAAATAATGATATCCTTTTATTTAAATACCTTTCAGTCTTCCGATGGTTCTGTTGCCAGTTAAAGGTGATTTGTTTATGAGTGTGTATGGCGTGTGCTGAGCTCAAAAACAGCAGCAACATCAAGGTAATGTCTTCAAAACAAGATTGTGTCAGAAATATTGTACATTTAATTTAATTTTAAAGACACTGTACATTATACGATACAAGGCAGG